TTAGGCTGAAAGAAATGACAGTAATTAGTAACAATAAAAATAACAAGTGTATTAAGCGGACGAATATTACATTCGAAAATACAAACGGAAATACGATAATCGACGGGAATACTTGAGACGCGCAACAATGCAGCGTACTCGACGTGACAGAGACTCGCAATTCGCGCGTTCCACGATCGTACGACAAGATCGTGTCTCAGAAAACGGAAAATTAAGAGCGGTTTCCCTTTCGGCGGTACGACTCGCAGATTACATGTCCGTCCGCGTAACATGCGAAATCGGAAAGCATGCAGTGCGGGCGTGATATTCGCGGGCACGCCGGCGCGGAGCGCTCGGCGTACACGGGCAGCGTGATCGACACAGCGAAATCGAAACTCGGGAACTCATATGTCCCGCGGGATCCCGTGATCCCGGAAACTCTCTCTAAATCCCGTGACAGGGGTACAAGGTCCTCTTGAAAACGCGAATTATCACACACGCACAAGGACGGGAATGACACAATTGCATGAACTGGCTTGGCTGTGGCGCTCGGCGGGCGCGTGGCGCGACGGACCTGTAACAAAGTATCTCGATACGCGGAGTCAGACGGGGCGCCGGGATATACGGAATCTTTATCGGCTATAGCCGAGTCACAAAACGAGAACGACAAGTATGAACGCGTGTTCCTCGCGGCCCGTCTGACACAAGGGAAAATCGGCGGCTTTACATAGGTGCGTTCGTCTCACCGGAACTCCTCCTCTCGGGAACGGCAGCTCGCTCACGGCTATCTCTCTCTAAGTCCTCTCAGGTTAATATCTCAATTTAGGCTCGTACTCTGTTCTGCGTCCTTCCACCTGACAACCACAGCACAAGTGCTGAATGCCGCTGCTTCCGTGATCTCGCTGGGCCGGTGGGCCCACGTGGTATATCCTTCCGCGCCCCTAATTGGCGGGCGTGCGAGCTCGCGACCTCCGCGAATCGCGTGAGGTGCGTAGCGCCGCGGGTCCTGCGTCCCTGCGCGCGGCATTTAAATTAGCGGCGGTGTCCTTCTCGTCGGCGGTACCACCAGGTGCGCTCCCGTGTTGGCACGCTCAGGCAGCTCACCCTCAGGAACAGATTCTATTGAGGGGCCGTCCCTGGCTGCCGGTCTTATCCTCCGGGGCGCCCTGTCGCGTTGCCGACTACGGAGTCTCTCGCCCGATCTGGAGGCGTAGAGTGGCCATCCCCTTCGTCCTCGCCTTAGCTGACTCGCACCGGAACCTGGAAGGAAGCTCGGCAGCTTAATTGCTCTCAAATTATGTGAAGGAACGCGGACTCAAATACGACCTGTACATGTTGCTTCTCCATCCTTGTGGTCCTCTTCTTGTGGCTGCTGCGACGTTGGTGAGACGGGTGAAATTTTACAAAGTCTCCGGGAGCCGCCGATACGCTAGGTTAAATAATCGAGATCGCTACGGAACTAAAAAGTGATTACGAACGATAATCGGTATTCGGGCGCGGGGGCCATGCAAATGCAGTCCCGCGGTCCGCGCCACGCGTCCGCCTCCGAAAATCGGAAGGACGCAGGACTCGAAACTACCGCCCGCGGTCGGGTCCGTAGATCCCTTGTGACGGACGGTCCAAAAAGGGACGTCCTGTAACAATATATACATATTGAATTTCTATCATTAATACATTAATCCAATTATAAAAATCAGAAATGCAATAAAAAAGAAAAAGAATCTTTTTTCATTTTCTATCGAACTTTTTAAGCAGCCACAGCGAGATCACAAATAATCAGCAATTCTTAATTTAAATCGACGCTTACGCGCATCTTAAGATACTAGGGATGCATGATACTTTATCGATATTTTCAGTATCGATATTTTTCAGTACGATATCCGATATTTTGTATCGATACTTTCGTCTTGATAATATCGGCATATCGATACTTTTTGGTGATATCGATGCTTTTAGTGAGTATTTTTTGAGCTTATTCCATCTTGTGTTATTAATTGTCATCTATCTGGCAGCCATTTTGAGAATGTCGATTTCATGATTTTCGAGGTTCGAGTTACCGTCGTTACCGACAGTTACCGAATAATGTCGAATTGTTTTAAGCTGAATCGTTAGAAGCAGTGTTGTCAGTGTTACAATTGAAAGTCGACATTGTCGACAAACGGCAGCGACGAATACACAAAAATCTAAGAGGACCTTATATATATTCGGCGTGCTGATACTGCTGACGCAGCTGGTGTTCTATCAAAATGTCAGGAAGAAAAAGTGTACTGTGGAATCATTTTATTAAAACAAAAACTGGCGGCACATGTAAAGTGTGCCTAACCGATGTGCCAACCAGTGGCAATACTACAAATTTGAGAACTCACATAAAAGGGAAGCATCGTGAAATTTTTTTGCAACTTCAAGACCAGAACGTCCAAAACCCGAAGTCTATTCCGAAAAATTCGTCTGAAAGTAGTGAAAGTGAGGTTGAATCCGTTGAATCAATTAGCATGCCAAGTACAAGTGCGTCAAACAACATTTCTATCAGCCGAAAAAGGGTAAGTAAAGTACATTTAAAAGTACTGCTTAAAACAATTTATCATTTACAATATTTACAATTTGTATCATTTACAATTTATATTTACAATTTGTATGTACAGACTGTCTCCAGCATTGAGACTGGAAATGCGACTGATGGTTCGATAGTTGCATCGATTAAACAAGTAAAACAAGCGCCTCAACCTAGAATTGACCACGCCTTGTATGATATCAAAGCATTCGAAAGTAAGTTACTTTTACTATATATTTTATTCAGTGATTAATTATAAAGGAACTAGCAAATATTTATTCAATGATATCTATCTTTACAGAAGGAGGATTGAAATATGCTCGGATTACAAATGCTCTGATATATATGATCGTGAAAGATAACATAAGCTAATAGAGAGATAACATAAGATAATATAACAAGATAGCCTCTGAATAGTACAGAAAAATCTGGACTTTCATACTTTTTAAAGACTGCGGTACCCTTGTACAAAATCCCAGGAAGATTCAAGATGACAACTCTTATCGATGCGACATACGAGAGATTATCGGTTCAGATGAAGAAGAAACTCGTAGCTGCGTCTAGTGTCACTTTGACGGCAGACGTGTGGACTGAGACGATGAATACGATCGGATATCTTGGTATGACAGTTCACTTTCCACATAATGGAAAAATTTGTTCGATAATGATTGGAGTCATCGAGTTGGACGAACGACATACTGCGTTGTATCTAGGTGAAGTTTTAACGAATACTTGTAATGAATGGGGTATACCATTGGAAAACGTACTCGCGGTTGTCACTGATAATGCCGCTAATATTTGCAAAGCTGTGAAAGACACATTTGGAGCAAAAAAACAATTAAGTTGTTTTGCACATACGCTTAACTTAGTTCCAAGTACAGTTCTTGATAAAAATCCTAATCTTACAGATCTAATTGTTAAAATTAAAGATATCGTCTCTTATTTTAAACAAAGCTGTGTCGCAGCTGATGAATTTCGAAAAGCACAATTACCAGATAAACCTCTCAAACTGATACAAGAAGTGTCAACGCGTTGGAATTCTTTATATTATATGCTTGAAAGATTTGTGAAATTAATAAATAGCGTGTCTGCGGTATTAATTAAACTTCCTCGCTCTCCTCCGATGTTAACGGCATTTGAAGTCGCAACAGTCAACGAAATTTTAAAAATGTTTAAATTGCTTGAGTCTGTGTCTAAAGAAGTTTCTGGCGAACGCTATGTCACGAGCAGTAAAGTAATTCCGATGGTTAATGGTCTTCGGCACGAACTGAACGCATTAGAGCCGGAGTCGGAGATCGGAAAAAAACTTAAATATCAGTTGATTTTTGAAGTAAATACGAGATTTGAGAACATCGAAAAACATCCAATTTTAAGTGTATCCACGTTATTAGATCCAAGATTCAAACGATTACATTTTCAAAGCCAACTGGCATGCTCCGATGCGGTACACAGCGTTAATAAAAAGATGCAAAATCAGGCCAGCCAAATGGATAACGCAGAGAATGAAATTTCTAATAATAGTAATAATATTCAAGACAAAAATGAATGTAACATTTGGAACTTTCATTCGGAATTGGCTGCAAAGTTTCATAATAAACAAGTTAATGATACTGTCGGAGGTATCGATATTAATTTGAAACAATATCTGAATCAAGACGTGGAACCTTTGCATGTTGATCCCTTGGAATTTTGGGAACGGAATCACTTTTCTTTTCCACAATTAGCTCCTATTGCTACGAAATATCTGTCAGTCGTTGCAACGTCTGTTCCATGCGAAAGGGTCTTTTCATGTGCCGGCAATATTATAGACGAAAACAGAAATAGGATGAAAGGTGTCCGTTTATCGAAATTATTATTCTTGAATTCACTTGATTTTGCAGAATGGAATTTACCCGGTTAATATTGTTAGTCTTCTAAGAAAGTTTCTAAATGAACTGTCATATCAAATATTATAAAATATCTAAGATATTCTAATACAACGTTCTGTGATAAATCCATCCTAAAAAAACACGTGATATTTGAATGATAATTAGAGCGACTGTATGTCGAAAAAAACACTATGTATTGAAATAATATTAAGAAAACGTTATGTGCTTTATATGTTTATACCAAAGTATGATTATAAATGTTATGTTCTATTAAAAGAAGAAAGTTCTTTGTGATCATAAACGATAAGCTCTGTTAAATCAAACTGTTACGTAGTAATATCAAAGTATAATTATAAATGTTATGTTCTATTAAAAGAAGAAAGTTCTTTGTGATTATAAACGATAAGCTCTGTTAAATCAAACTGTGTTAAGTAATAATATCAAAGTATGATTATAATGTTATGTTCTATTAAAAGAAAAATATTCTTTATTGTGATTATAAAAAATAAATTCTATTAAACTTATAAACTGTGTTACATAGGTAGCAATAATTTATTTTTTTAGTACATTTATATCTATGTAATTTATGTTTCGGTCTTAATTCTGAAATCCTAAAATTTAGCTAATAGAGCTGCAGTTCTAATCGAAATCTATATTCTCATTGGTTGAATTTTAGGATTTTAGGATTAGGACCGAAGCATAAACCGGGGATTACCCTGCTCTGGTTTGGTTACGTTGATTTAATCAATTAAGAAAATTATGATATCGAAAGTTTCGATATTGAGGTATCAATACTTTTATGTCCGATATTTTAGTGTATCGATACTTTGGTTTACGATACATATCGATACGAAATATCGATATATCCGAAAGTATCATGCATCCCTATAAGATACTATGGAAAACTTCATATAAATTGCTATTAACAAAGCATCTGAAAATATCATGAAAGTAGAAAGATATCACCACAGGATACATAACTAACAAATTTTCAAAATGAACCTGAAGGCGGGAACCAGTGATGTTATATGGGAGGGAAATTCCCTATTTGGGGGGATTTTTTTAGCGTAAAGGGAAAAAGGGATTTTTGCAGTTTGGGAGGGAATTTTTAGTTTTTGCGATAAATGATTAAAAATA